GTTCATCCAACATAACCATCTCAACATTGTCGTCAAAATCTTTACGCTGAAAGTTAGGAGCCTTCCAAGATCGAACCACCTTAACCTTAATCCTCCAGTCCTCCTTCGTAGGAATAATACCCTTTATAAAATCATATTCTGAAAATATTTTGTTTTGGAAGACGAAAAGAAGAAAAGAAAGAAGCTATTTTTCTCAAAGAAACAATTAGCAAAATTTGTAGACCAGACAGAAGAACGAAATAACAATGCACAACGTTCCTTTTTGTAGACGCAAGCAACAAAAGAAAAGCAATCAGAGATTAAATGAGCTGTCTGCCACCAAAAACTTTCCAAATCTTTTCCCACCATTACAATTTAAAATTCTAAATTGGAATCCAAAATTTGAAATCAATTCAAAATTTGAATTTTAAAAGAGCAGAGCAATTCCAATGTAGAAAGCAATTAAAAAAGCTGAGTAATTCCAATGTGGACAGCAGTGGGACATTGAATGAGTTGTCTGCCACCACAAATGATTTTTATTTCGATTTTTAAAAGAAATATTTCGATTTTTAAAACAAATACTATTTAAATTTACCAAAGAAGGAAAATTTTCATATGCCATGTAGTGTGAACACAAATCTCAGACTTAAAGAGGGAGTGAACATCAGCAGACTTTCCAACAAATGAGTTTCTTTTATATATATATATATATATATATATATATATAAATATATATAGATATGAAATATTTAGGTCATGAGACTTACACGAAGAATGTCAACAATGATGAAGTATTAATGATAAAATGATAAGATAAGTGCTAAAGATAAAATGATACTCCCTAGTACAATTTTTGGAAGGAATTTTAAGCTTTAGGGCCTGTTTGGTGTGATATATAAGTTCTCATAGTATGAGCTTATACTATATGTTACGACATATTTAGTTATTTGGTGTGACCATCGTATATTATAAGCTTATACAACAGAATCCCTTTATACATCAAAATGATGTATAACTTAATCAGGCTTAGGAGGGTAGGATTAGGCCTGATAAGGGGTTGATGTATTAACCAATGCAATTCTTAAGAATTAATATATTATTTTAATATTAATATATTAAAATAAAAAATAATTTTTCAATATATAATTTTTTAAAATATTGGAGATTTTTATTTTTATAAAAATTAATATATTTTTTGGACACACTAATCAACGTATTTCTATAAAAAATAATATCATCTGATATATTTGGAAGAATTATGTAAATTCATTATTAAAAGGTATTTTATAATACATTGTATTACCAAACATTGAATGATATTACCTTATACAATATATTATCTTTTATTCAATATCATGTCAAACGTTGGATAGTATTAAAATTTATTCAGGTCTTATACAATCATGCCTTATACTATCAGGTCTTATACTACCAGACCTTGTCCTATACTATGTACCAAACATGCCCTTAATCCTGAACTCACCCCGAATAAGCTTATCTCTCATAAAAAAATACACGTGTTTTATAAAAAAGAAAGATAAAATGATACTCTTAATTATAGTGTGAATGAAACCTTAAATGGATTTTGCTTTTGAGTGGTGTTGTCCGGATTGAAAGGTTTATCGATCTACATTTATTGAGGAGTGTGGTACGTCTGACTCGGGTATTAATTATGGTGGAGCAGTGTTATAAATACCGACCCAATTTGGTCGGGTTAACTCAGAATCTGGCGAAATAGTTATTGGACTGATTCGAGTCAAGTATCAGATCAGTCATACATCAGATCCGGTCAAATTCGATCTAAACCCTGTCCAATCTGATCAACATCGGTGATCCGGTCAGGTCATGCATTTAAAAAAAAAACTAAAAACCAAAATTGTTTCATCTTGTTAGAAAAATGTATAACTTATTTTAAAAAAATTTGTAATTTTATTTTCTAGTAATATACTCTTCTACGATGACCTCAAATTTTAGATTCCAATACTGAAGCAATTTGCGGAACAATAAAATAAGAAAATGTGACATATGTCATTTCAATATAAATAAATTTAAAAAACATAAGTTCACAACATCTGAAAATATGAGTTCATAACATCTGAAAATATGAGTTCACAACATCTGACCTTTTGAATGTCATTGAGAGATATGCTTACGAGGATTCTGAGTTGTAATATAAATTGACATAATAATAGCGTGTATTTTTATTTATTTGTGCTTTATGAACTTGTAAAAGTGTGATTGAGTAATTTTTGAGTTTATTTAGTGAATATTATTTAATTAATTTTAGATATGGATAATATAATTAAATTTTGATGTTCATATTTATATATATATATATATATATATATATATATATATATCTATCCGGATCAACTAATCCAATCAGTGATTCACCGGTCCAACGAATAATCTAATATTCCAACCAAATTAATGCTCGAATCGGATTTAATAATACTGGTATATAGTGTATTAACATAGAGAGTGCTTAGAGGAAATAATACATCAACGGTTGATAGTGTACATGACCAATAAGCCGGGAGGTAGACGATAATTATTATCATATTAGTTTTACCAGCTTAACCAATTGTAGTTCTGTTAGTTATTTGTCAGTTTTTTTCCCACTTCTTGATATAAGAGTCACATATGTACAATATAAATACTTGTCATATTGTACTTTGATCAGATATGAAATATACAGAGAAATTCTCTCTCTATCTCTCTCCCAATCTTTCTTTCTCTCTATTTTCTTTAATAACATGGTATCAGAGCTCTATTGAGCTCTGGTATTCGTTGTTGTCTTCTTTACTCAATTTCTTCTTTTCTTCTCTGATTTCCTACAATGGCGAACCAGAGCTCAGCACCAGATAATCAAATGAGTCATTTCTTTCTTCACCCAAATAAGAATCCTTCATTGGTTCTTGTTCCTACTCTTCTCAATGGCAAAAATTATCACTCCTGGCTTTGAACAATGACGAGAGCACTTTGATCAAGGAACAAGCTTGGTTTTGTGGATGGCAGTATACCCATTCCAATTGAAACATATCCTTTGCATTATGCATGGGAGCGATACAACATGATGGTTCTTTCTTGGATCACTCATTCAATCACAAAAACTATAGCCCAATCTGTTCTTTGTATAGAACAAGCTTCACAAGTTTGGAAAGATCTACGTGAGAGATTTTCCCAATCAGATACCTTTCGCATTGCTGATCTTCAAAAAGACATCTTTCGATTGCAGCAAGGGACAAGGTCAATTTCAGAATATTTCACTTAGTTAAAAATCCTATGGGACAAGCTTGGCAGTCTTGAACCTTCCCTCAATTGTTCTTGTGGAGCTTCAGTACAAATAAAGGCCACCAAAGAAAGAGATCATGTAATTTGCTTCTCGAGAGGACTCAATGAGAGATATTCCCAAGCAAGATCCCAGATAGTGCTCATGCAACCTTTATCAGGTATGAATCAAGTTTTCTCACTAATCATTGAGCAAGAACGTCAATTGAATACAGATAATGTTGAAAATGAAACTGAAAATAAGGCCAAGGCTTTGTTGAATGTCACCACTCATCAATATACACGAGGAGGTGGACAATTTACAAGAGGAAGAGATTGTAGTACTTTTGCTGGAAGAGGACGTGGAAACATAAACAAGATATGTACTCACTGTGGTAGAACTAAGCACACCATAGATACTTGCTAAAAGAAACATGGCTACCCACCTGGTTACAAACAAGGTTTATCTCATAAAGCAAATGCAGTGTCACAAGAAGAAAATGATGCAAATCTTGATGAACTTTTCGAAGAACAATCTCAGAAACCTCATGAACAAGGTCATACCTTTTCTAAAGAACAATATAATAGTCTTTTAGACTTGCTGCAGCAAACAAAAACCAGTTCCAATCATGCTTCAAGTGCAGTACACACCAACATATTGAATACAAATTCTTCTCAAATAGGTAATCCTAATACTCAATGGATATTGGATACTGGGGCCACTGATCATATTTCTAACAATTCTAGCCTTTTCATTTCTATTAAATCCATCAAACCAATATCCATAAATCTTCCAAATGGATCCCAAATACAAGCCTTTCATTCTGGTGTAGTTCATATTTCTGATTTACTCATATTAAATGATTTTCTATATGTAGAATCATTTCAAGTCAATCTTATTTCAATCACTAAACTTTTACGTGATTCAAAATGTTCCATCACTTTTAATGAGCCTACCTGTCATATTATGAAGAATATCAACCAGAGGATGATTGGTTCAACTAAACTAGTGGGTGGGTTATATGTGCTTAATCAAGAATTTCCTCAAAGGCAAGATTCTATAGACACCAGTGATGCTATCCGACAAGTATACCGTTTCGCATAAGTAGTAAAGTAGTAAGAAAGATCGTCTCCTCAGGGATTGAAAACCAAGTACTAAAATAATCAGTCACTTTAAGTTGAAAAACTTGATCTCTTGTTGGGAAAATTAAATTGAATCTTAGTAACCATAAAAGTAAAGACTTATTTTTGAGTTTTTGTATTTTCAAGAATGAAAAGAAGAATAATAATAGAGTTGGTTTTGAAAATATGAGAAAGAATTGTAGTTAGAGAACATTCTCCCTATGATCCCCACTTATTACTTTGGATTGATACAAAATACTTATTTATATAATTTCTCAGATAATTATGATCTCAATATATTAATAATTAAATCTCAATCCCTTGGTAACTTAACCCTTTAACCTCGCTTAGAATCCTAATCCCTTAGTAACCCCTCATGAGAATTAAGCAATGAACACAATAATTCCAACATCTGCAATTAAATATACATCTATCCCTAGTATGCATACCAATAGTTATCTTATCTCCTTTCAAGATCAGAAACCTCAATATCCCTATTTAAGGTTCTAACCCTCAAACTATTTTCAACTATCAAATTGATCAGGTTTAATAAAGAAAATATCAAATACGCACAAGGTAAGATAAAGAAATTTATATAAACGAGTAAAATAATTTAAATCAATCCGTCATAACAAGGGTTCACATAAGGTTTGTGACCCTAACTACAATAAAAGAAATTAGCCAGACATATTCATGTCTGACAATTTAAATAATGAGAAAGAGTTCATGAAAATGTAAAACCGGAAGAAGAAGAAGTCTTGAATCTTCAGTCACCGAGAGCTTCCTCTCCAATTTCTCCTTGCCAAAAGATGATTTTCTTTTAGAGTTTCTGCTTCCTTTATATAGCCAGCTACTCAATCAGGTCATAATCCTTGCATTAATTCTGATTAAATTTCCATTTTTCTCATAATTCCACCAATCAATCGGGTCATAATCCTCTCATTAATTTGATTAAATTTCCATTTTCATCAAATTCCACAATTCAAGGATTGCATTCATGACGCCCACACGATCAGCGCCAAATCCGTGACTCCACAAATCAAGGACTGCATTCATGGCACCCGCACAATCAGTGCCAAATCCTGGTCATGAATGTGTGTGGCGCTAGTTTGCGCCACTCTGGCGCCAACTAGCGCCAATTCTCTGGTATTTGGCCTGTGCAGCAAGGCGCAACTTGGCACTTTCCTCTGTGTGGAATTGCATCAACAGGCTTTTTATAATTTTCAATTCTTTTTCCTGCAAAAATACAATTAATAGGTAAATATTATTGACATAGAAAGAATCAATATAAATAGCAAATATGTATTGAAATTGCTCTTTAATGACTCAATTCTTATTAATTTTAATATGGAAAAACCACACTTGCCAGTGGCACATCAACTAGCCACTGCAATACTATGAAGAATGTAACTAGTCAATACTTATGGTTTTTTAGACTTGGTCACTGCTCCCAATCTATTATGCAGACCATATGTACACAATCTCCTTTTATCAGCAATAATATTGTCATTCCTTGTGATACATGTCACTTTGCTAAACAAAGAAAATTACCTTTTACTTCTAGTTCTTCTTTATCTTCCCATACTTTTGATTTAATTCATGCTGACATTTGGGGACCCTATAGTATACCTTCCACTTCTGGTCATCGATACTTTCTAACTTTAATTGATGACTATTCTTGGCTCTGTTGGGTTATCCTAATGAAAACTAAACCAGAAACACGTGATCATCTCCAAAGTTTCATAAAACTTATTGAAAACCAATTTCAGACTACCATAAAAACCATTCGCAGTGACAATGGACCTGAATTTTTAATGTCAAAATTCTTCAATTCAAAAAGCATTATATATCAAACCGCATGTGTAGAGTCTCGACAACAGAATGGTGTTGTTGAAAGAAAACATCAACACATTCTGAATGTGGCCAGATCCCTTCTCTTTCAATCAAAAATCCCAAAAGATTTCTGGAACTACTGCATCACTCATGCAGTACACATCATAAATAGATTACCTACTCCCAATCTCAAAAACAAGAGCCCATATGAACTATTACATGATGAACCTCCTTTGTTAATTCACCTTAAAGTCTTTGGATGTCTACGCTATGCCTCTACGCTCTCTATTGGTCGCACAAAATTTGATCATCGAGCCAGAAAAGCTATTTTTCTTGGTTATAGAGTTGGAACTAAAGGCTACCTTTTATATGATCTTTCCACTCATAACACATTTGTTTATAGAAATGTTATTTTTTATGAGTCTATTTTTCCATTTCCCAAATTAGATCAGCAAAATCCTTTACATTTCACCACTTTATCTCACCAAAATACACACACACATATGATGATCCTTTAACCAGTTCAACACAACCAACCTTGTCTCAACCTCAAAATTCAACATCTGATATAGACATTCATCATCCTTCTACTACAAACAGTAATCCCTAAACTCAGACCACTTCAAGGAGATCAACAAGAATGAGGAATTTACCAAAATATCTCAATGATTTTCGTTGTAACTTACCCACTGCACATGCTGCAACCACTGCATCCTCAGGTACTCCTTTACCCTTTTATCCTTTGACTTCAGTCTTATCTTATGATCATTGTTCTCCCTCTTACACTTCCTTCTGTTATAATATCTCATCTCATTATGAACCATATACATACAAACAAGCTGCATCTAATCCACATTGGCAGCAAGCAATGAAGGATGAAATACAGGCTCTAGAGAGGAACAAAACATGGATTCTAGTTGATTTACCACCTAGCAAACAACTCATTGGCTGCAAATGGGTATACAAAATAAAACATAAAGATGATGGAACTATAGATTGATATAAAGCTCGTCTGGTGGCTAAAGGCTTCACTCAATTGGAAGGTATGGACTATTTAGACACCTTTCATCTGTTGTTAAACTTACAACAGTGAGAACTCTACTTGCAATTGCTACTGCCCGAAACTGATTTATTAAACAACTAGATATAAACAATGATTTTCTTCATGGTGACTTGAATGAAGAAGTTTATATGGTGGTCCCTCCAGGTCTTTATGCTTCCTCTCCATCTCAAGTATGTAAATTGAAGAAATCTTTATATGGTTTAAAACAAGCTTGTAGGCAGTGGAATGCTAAACTTACAGCTGCACTACTTACTTTAGGTTACACTCTATCTTTAGTTGACTACTCACTATTTGTTAAACATAAAGAAAACTCATTCACTGCCTTACTTGTTTATGTGGATGACATTATTTTAACTGTAAATGATCTAGCTGAAATTTCCATGGTTAAATCTTCTCTTCATCAACAATTCAGTATCAAAGATCTGGGTCCTTTAAAAATTTTCCTTGGTTTAGAAATTGCTCGATCCAAACGTGGGATGATTATCAATCAAGGAAAATATGCACTGGAATTATTATCTGATACAGGTTTCCTAGCTGCCAATTCTGCTTCAACTTCTTTAGATCCAGCTCACAAACTTTAAAAACATCAAGGCAGACCTTATCATGATGTTCCAGAATATCGCAGGCTCATTGGAAGACTGTTATACCTTACCACCACACGTCCCGATATCTCTCATGCCATTCAACAACTCAGTTAATATGTTTCTAATCCTATGGACACTCATTACAATGCTGCTTGCCATGTTCTTCGCTATATAAAAAGGTCTCCATCAAAAAGTTTATTTTTCCCTGCCACCAATGAGTTTCACATATTTGCTTTTGCAGATTCAGATTGGGCATCTTGCCCTGATACCAGAAAGTCCATCTCTGGTTTTTGTATATTTCTAGGATCATCTCTAATATCTTGGAAATCGAAGAAGCAAACCATAGTTTCTAGATTCTCTTCAGAAGCAGAATATTGGGCACTTGCACAGCTTACTTGTGAGCTTCAATGGCTTCAGTTTATACTTCATGATCTCCACATTTCTATTTCTCAACCTGCTTCCGTCTTCTGTGATAGTTAGGCGGCTATATATCTAGCTCATAACCCAACTTTCCATGAGCGAAGTAAACATATAGAGTTAGATTGTCATGTTACTAGAGAAAAGATTCAAACTAGTCTTATTCATCTCCTTCCTATCTCCACCAGGCATCAACTTGCAGACACCTTTACTAAAGCCTTGCAGCCTTCACAATTTAATACTCTCATTAACAAGTTGGGGTTACTTGACATCAACCTTCCAACTTGAGGGGAGGGTATTATCATATCAGTTTTACTAGCTTAACTAATTGTAGTTCTGTTAGTTATTTGTTAGTTATTTTCCCACTTCTTGATATAACAGTCACATCTGTACAATATAAATACTTGTCATGTTGTACTTTGATCAGATATGGAATATACAAAGCAATCCTCTCTCTCTTTCCCAATCTTTCTTTCTCTCTATTTTCTTTAATAGCAATAGTTTTGTACTGTGATAAGAATGAAAATGGAATCAGTTAGAAATTTTATTTATTGCAGTCGCCAATGAATTGTAGTTATTCTTATTTTAATAAAGGGTTCATTAGATGTCTCATTGCAGGATGTCCTGTAAAAAAAAATTATGTATCATGGATAATATATAATTATTTTTTTATACCTCTTATAATTATGTACTACAAATAGTACATAGTTATAATATTGAAGTTTTTCATACCCATTAACTATGTACTACCCGTAATACATAGTTAATTTTTTGTTGTAGGACGTCCTGCAACATGATTCTTATATTTCCTTTTAATGAAAGTGAGTTAAATCATGATGGGTGTTGAGAGTGGATTCTCTTATGTTAAATAAAATATTATATAGTCATGTGGGGGAATTATAATCATATAAAGGTAGATAAATAATGATAAATAAGGGAAGAGAAAAATGTTTACCGAAAAAAAGGGAAGAGAAAAATATATATTGAAATACATAGTTATAAAATCATCATAATTGATTTGTCTTTATATGATTGTGATTTTCCCATATGACTATGTCATATTTTATTTAACTTGAGAGGATCAATTTCATGTTATATAAAGATCACTTAATTGAGTGATCTTTTTATTTGGACTTCAATATTCATAATGTTGATTAGTGTGTATAATAATAGGGAAAACATTTTCTCTTGTCGTAGGAGAGTTGTTTTCTCTTACTAGTGACCCTTCGATTTTCGTGCAATATTTTCTTTTATTTTTTTATTTTTTTAATAGATGTGGCCCTCACATAAGATGTGTCTACAACATTAGAAAATTTTCTCCTACCGCATGAAAAAATCAAAACCCATAATAATATAGCCCTAATTTATAAGCTCATGATGAAAATGAGATTAGGTTAATAAGTTTCACTAGATTATATGTACATTCAAAACAGTTGCTTCACAACTTACCCATAGTTTGTGAGCTGAGAGTAGTGTGAGTTGTAATAGAAAATATTAATCTAACTTTGCAAGAATATCACAACAATCTTTTGAGATATCAAGAATTATATCTTCAATAAATAAGTCTAAAATTTTGGTATTTTAATTTTATATAATCACAATCCTATTTTTTTTCTTATAGAGTCGTCTAAAAGATTGATATCCCAGGTCCAAAACAAGTAGAATAATAGATTATAGTTAGTTAAAAAATGGGTTAGGCAAGTAGAAGCACGCGCGCGAAAAATTCCCTTCTGCTAGGGTTTTCTCCATCTTTTTCTTTTGAGTTTTCAATGGAGGATTTGGCTGGCAATTTCAATGAAACGTTGTCTATGGCAAGAAAAAGTACCAAGAAGACGAAGAGTGGGGAGGAGATTCCCACAGAAAATCGAATGAGGGAAGTGGTGAAAGACTATCAAGCTGGTTCTACGGGGATGGTGAAGCAACGATCCTTTGCTGAAGTGACGGGCGAGGAGAACGGCGTTGCAGGAGCCTCGTTTCCCTGGTTAGCTGAGGAAAAAGTTCCAGACATAGAACCTTTGGACCCAAGCTTGGGATTTCGGAATGGGGCTTCCAAACGATAATCAACGAAGATGGATCTATTGAGATCAGGAGCAATAGCGAGGCAAGAGCTAGGATGTGTCAGCATTGGAAGAATGCTCTCATTGTCAAGCTCTTGGGGAAGAAGATCGAGGTGGGTTTCATGAAGAGGAGGCTGGAATCTCTCTGGGCTAAGGCTGGCAGCATCATGGTGGCTGATCTAGGTAATGATTTTTTCTCAGTTAGGTTCAGTAACTTGGAAGATCTCAATTTAGCCATCACGGGTGGGCCTTGGGTTATCTTAGGGCACTACTTAGCCACGA